CAGGTGAAGAAATGAAGACTCTAAGAGGCAAAGTAAGGTATATACCTGAACCCACCAACTTAGATTTACTAAGAACCTATAATGTGACTGGAATGAGGAAGCAACAAAAGCATAATGAAAACTGGTTCTTCCTCTTTAGCAGCCTCCAGTCCTTTCGAGAAAATAAGGCACTCGTACAAAGTAAGCATTAAAAAGGCACACACACAAGCTACTGAAGTGTGGTATGGAGCAAAGCACAAAGCAGGGCTAAGAACAAGGAGCGGGACTATTTCTTATTAGGTCCATATCCCTGGGCCTAGCAAGTGTCTGACACAGAGTGGCTGTTCCAAATCTATTTTATTTGTTGAGCGCCTACTGAGTGTCAGGCATTGTACTAGTTGTCAGAAATACAGAAATGTGTACAATGTGATCTCTAACCTCAAGAAGCTCATATGGGCTGGAACTGCTATAGAATGCTTTAAGACAAAAAATGAGCCTTTGTGAAGGGAGAAGATATAGGCGGAAGTAGACAAGGTAGGAAGAACAAAAGCACCACCAGCCCAGTAATTAAAGCAATATTGTGGATGATGACGGGGAGGGAGTAGGACACTGAGTTGACTTTATCTCCCACAGCAGGGAATTTATGTGGGAAGTCGTGAGAGAAGATACTGATGGATTAAGGAAAACCCTTGTAATAACCTGGAAGGTTAATACCGGAAGCAACCAACTAACACTGTTTTAATTCTGAGAACGGACCCCACAGAAAGTATTTATGGTGCAGCTAATGCGAGTAGTGGAAATAAACTAGTTGCTTGTGGCAGAACAATTTATTACAAGAAACATTAAGGAACTATTCCACTACGTTCCATTCTCCCTGATTACCATAGCTTTCCACAGCCATTTGTATTATCAATATAGGCCTTAGGGAAGTGTACAAAATTTATAATATGGAAGGCACTAGGACAAATAAAATGAGATTTATTAGGCATTTTCTTAGATTTTCTTAATAGCAATGAGTGAACATGAATATGACTGGATATTAACAATGGTGGTTCTACCAATTGCATGAATTAGGATATATTAAGCACCGCTTTGGGGAGGCAAAAGAAAAAGTTATTAAAGAATACTCACGTGGGTGGGAAATGCCTGGAAAAAATGCCCCATTCGGGCCTAGGGAAGCCAGTTAAAAGATAATATGGGGGGAGAGAGCAGTTGCATTTCAAAGTAATTTCTTTATGATGACACTGTTTTAATGAGTATAATTGAATTCCCTTGCTACAGAGTGAGGCCTTCAGTCTATTACAATGAAATGTGTTCAAGATGGAAAATTTTGTGTTACATGTAGTGTAAGTGAGAGCAAATGGTTTTGGGGAAACATAGTAAGAGTCCTCCCCTCCAATAGTTCTATTTTCACAAAATAAGAAATAAATACATCACAAGATGACCCTTAGGATCCTAGATACGGTAGAAAGTAGTCCATACATAAATTCAGCCAGGCCCTTCAAAACATTAAACCCACATTCCTTTGTAGTCTAACGTAGTTGAAACATGTCCAAGATTTGGAGTCAGGCAATTCTAGACCCAAATCCTAACTTTCCTACTAATTGTCTGTGTGGTCCTGCACGCTCTGCTTAACCTCTCTGACCCTGCAGGTGTCTTGCGTTATAAACTCAGAATAAGAATACTTATCACACATAAGGTTGTTGTGAGGATAAAATGAAATTAACACAATGATGTATATACACTGTTTAGCACAGTGCTTTGTGGCAAAGTAAGCACGTGACATGAATATTAGATAGTTATTATTACTAATACTTCTGGCGTCACTATTATTAGTTTACTGAAACAGGAATATGCTGGATCAAATGAGAACACCTATGTTTGGGTCCCAGATCAGTTACTTTTAAAGATCTCTAATTCCTCAACTGTAAATGGCAATATTATAATGACAATAATATCTGCTTTGCCTAAATCACAAGACTATGGGAAGTTCCAAAGGTAATGTACGTGCAGACTATAAAACTGTCAAACAATTTAAAACTATTCTCTCTCCCCAAGAGTCCATACTTAAATGACAGAAACTCAAGTATAATGTCATTTGCCTGTACTTAATGCACCATGAATGTAATACGACTGACCCTATTAACACAAGGAAAAAAGAATATATGGTTTTTTAGTAATGGTGACCTATTGGGAGTCTGACTCTTTAAAGTTGTATTAACGTAATATTACTGCTATGAACGTGAATGTTGTAAACCACTGGTAGCATGTAATCCACTCAACTTTAAAACTTCACCCTCTATTCAGAAACGTTGAACATAATTAGATGATTTACTAATCATAACTGCCTCTACCAAGATTAATATGAAAACAAACATACTTTTAAAAAGTAATCACAAAACTGATAAGGAGTTAGGGAAGAGACAAAATTCCCTAAATTGCTGGGCAGTATCTAATTGATTCTGGAAGAATGTTGAGAGTTAATTTTACATTTTGCACTTGAATTGTCAGCAGTCTGGAGATTCTAAGGTGACAAGTGTTGCTGGTATAAAAAATTACAAAAGGCCTGTCCTGAGCTCAATGATGGATGGATGGATAGATAGGTGGATGGATGGGTGGATGGAGGCGTGTGGAAACTGTAACTCTAATTTTCAGTAATTTAACCCCCACGTCTATCTGGGACATGAGCCAAGTAAAAATCATTCTCCTCAACACGTAGAAGAAAAGAGATGGAATTTAAATATTCTCCTCCACTTGTATCTGACATCTTGTGGTTTTAAGAGCAAATATTTCGGTTATGGAAAAGTCAGCTTCAGGAAACTACTACGAGTAAACTGTGAGGAGAGTTAAAATATATTTTTTTTCTGCTCATAATTGGCCTACATATGATTCCTTGATGATTTCCTTGATCTGTTTTATTCCCCCCAGCCTGGAATTCTAGACCATGAACAGGATGTCACAGCGATGGGTGTAGAATCAAAGTGGGCATTAGGGCCAGTACCATACAAACATTGTCATGATGGCTGGTTAAAAAAACGGGGGTGGGTACAGGGGTTGGAGTGCAATGTGGGCGCTGGTCTTGAGACTGGAAAATAAAAGAAGGCTTAAGAATTCAAGATGTGCACGACTCCCCTCCCCTCTCCCAGCTACTTCTACAGTGCTTGGCATCCGTGAATAGGATTCGACAGGATAGGATCATGTGTGATTTTTCTGCTTGGTTATCAACTGGCATTCTCTACTTCTTTCTACTGTAGTAATTACGCTTATCTGATGTATTTCAGCACAAATCCTCTTCAAAATGATAAAGCATATAATAATATATTGAAAAGAGTAAGTGCCTACGAGGAGTTCAAGATAGGGGAGGCCATACGTCCGTGTTTGCTAAAAAAGAAAGGCTTAGTTAGCCTTAAAGAATGGGGCAGTTCTAACAGCTTTTTTAAGGCATTTCAAAGATCTGTTTTGTCTCTCCAACTCTTGACATGGAGGATGAATGTCTAAAATGTTTACAAGAGAAACTGAGTTTTTATTTGGAAAAAAAAAAAGATAACAGAACAAAAAGAGTACGAGCAAACGGATGTACTGGTCTCTATAATTCTGGGTGGGATAAATAAACACCATTCCTTGGAAAACAGTTTTAAGAAAAGGAAGGGAAAAAATTCTCCCTCAACTAGGAAATAGAAAGGATGCTTGAGCTTGCAAACCACTTACAGTTGTAAACAGTGTGGGTGGGAAAAAGCAGTAAGAACAACTAGACCCTGTGAAGTTTCAACAAGAGAAGTGGGTGTATAACAAATAACAAAAATGCAAGATGCAGCTACAAAAATAGAGAGGCATGAGTATCCATAGGAAAGAAATTGTACATTACAGGAGAGCTAATCTGCACAGTGGTGTGCAGAGAGAGTAAAACCAAAATCAGCTATTGGACAAGAATGAAAGGTCACCCAAATACCCTATACCAACATCTGCCTGAAAAAGAACAAAACCCACACTTTGCACCAAACTCTCCCAACGGATGGGTCTCCCCTTGGGAGTGAAGGAGCAGCCTTGCTGGGACCCATGGCATAAACGGGCAGAAAGTTGTTGCAGTGGAAACGCAGCTCCCGCATGATGAAAGGCATGCACCTCTTCCTTTCTCACGTGCTGAATGAAAAGAGCAAAGCTCTGGAGGTTTCAGAGAAACAGCAGCCCCTCAAGTAGCCACTCCTTCAAACCTCAAGGAAGGAGGGTCTACTGTCTTTCAAGGGCTTGAAGGGGAGTGCCTTCTGTCTGAAGCAGAGTCTGAAAAACACCCACTTCTCACTTCTCTGACAGGCATTTCTTGGCTCCACCTGTCTGATCTCCCATTGCTTACTGAGTGTAGGATTTTTCTGTTTACAATTCCTGACTTGGAGAAAGGGAGCTCTTTTAAAAAAAAAAAAATTGTTAGATTATTAACACATTTAGGTTAAAACATACCAAATAAGGTTGTGTTTGCAGCCCCTTAGAAAATGATAGCATGTAAATGAAAATCAAAAATTGATGCTTACTTAAAACAGAAGTTCACACTTAAGAACAAAAGGATAGAGCGTGATCAAAGAGTCAAAATGGAAACTGTTCCGAGTGAGAAGAAATCCTGCGTGAGGTGCATCTGGATTAACGATGACAAGACAGATCCCAGGTAGGAGACGCAGTCCTGGTGGGACTGCAAATACTCGGCCATGACTCTGACACCATACCAAAGAGTAAAGAAGTTCAAGATAAAGGGGACTCTTACGGAATTTTATAGATGAGATGTGCTTTCTTATCCCTCACATGTGTATTTAGAAAGGGGTAAGTTCAAATTTTTGTGAGCGAAGAAATAAAAAAAATGTGTTTTAAATGAACATCAAGCCTTAGATGAATTCTAGGAGCCAGTGAACATAATCATACCCAAAACCGAACATAACCGCTTCAAAGAAACATAAGGAACTAGTACAGTTAAAATATTTGCTCTTATTCTGCATGCTTTACTTTCTGATTTACATTTTCAAAAATTTCCTTACCTGGGCTGACTGTTCACCTTCTCGTGTTTTCCGTTGAAGTTCAAACTACAGAGGTTCTTTGATCTTGAATGTGAAGAGTCAGATTCCAAATTTGCCTGTGTCTGTTCTCGCAGACGGTCATGAAGAGTTGCCTCCTTTTTCAAGTTCATGTCGGAATACGGGCAGCCAAAAGCACTGGTTTGTATAAAAGTGAGAGCACAGTCGTCAGTTTATAGTGACACATCAGGAATCCACTGTCAAGGGAACAGACTTTACACCCAATGTCTGAATACAGACATTCTCCTCTCACTGAATACACCCTAATGTTTCTTTTCAGATCGCCCTTTGAGGAAATCTCAGGTGCCAGATCACAGACACTGGTCCACAGAGTATGATAGGTAGAGTCATTAGCACATACAGTTTTACAATTTTGGAAACTTAAAAATCTAAGACTAACATAATAATGTGCTTCTGGTAGAGTGATGAAAATGTCATATAAACACTTGATTGAAAGTTTTTATTTTCTTATATTTATGCCCTGATTTGACCACGTGCATCACAAAATACTATGGGTAACTATTTACCAGTATCAGAGAATTTTCTGTTCTTATTTCTTAACATTCATGTATCCAGAAATACTGTATTTCTGCTTAATCCTTCTGAAACCTGCTAGGAAGTGCCGTGTTTGAATGTGAAGAGACACCTCAGATGAAAACGGAGAGACCACAGTGAAGGCTGGATCCTGAATCTGAAATGTTGTTTGGAGCCTAACTAGCAAGGATCTGCCAGGACACAGGATCTGGTTCTTTCTATAGGCTGAGCAGTAGTCTCTGTTAAATTTCTCTGCCCACATTCCTGTCTCTAAAGAAGCCCCAAAGCTCTGCCGCTGCTGAGGAATCAGAGAGCCACTGTCAGGGAAAGCACAGGTGTGACAGGAGGTCACCTGTGCACAACCCTGGGGAAGGTACTTCATGCTCAAGCTTCAGTTTCTCTCCAGTTAAATGGGAAAATCAGATCCAACCCTAAGGGCTGTTGGGACCATGAGAAATCTCACACTGACACACATATACACACCCCATTATATGGTAGTGGCTACTGTTATCCCAGTGCTATCATCCTCTCCATGTAGGGAAGCACATAGTCAAATGCATCAATATCTAAGCAGTTGGGTCTTTTTTATGAGTTTACTTCCAATTTACCGTATATTTGCCGATATATGATGCATAATAAATTCTTTTATTATGAAAACATGAACGTTTTCTTTCGCTATTTTAATGGCATGATAAAATCAGGGACCAATGCAGTTTTTCCTCTATTTTAAAATAGAGTGGAGTTTTCCAAGGAGAACGTACAAACAATCTAACCCCAGAAAGCCTTTAGTACCAACCTATATCTACAATTGATCTTCTGGACTTTGGGGTGGTGTGGTTAGGATGACACCAGCCTGACCAAACAAGCCAGAGTGAATCTAAACTGGCAACAGGGATGATCATCAGCCTTTGCTGCAGACAGGAGGGTCCCCTTTACATTCATGTTCCGTAATGTGTAATACTTGGCATTGATTTATTATTTTGTTTAGTTATTGATTCAATAATCCATTAACTGAACATCTGCTATAAATCTAGTGAAGATGTATACTAATAAATACAATTTATAATAAGACCAAAAAAGGTACCTCTGATGAGTGTGTACTACAGGTCCATTAAAATTCAAGTTTTTTACATAGATTATTTCTAATATTTATTACTAAATACCCAAAGATGGTATTGACATATTTATCTTACAGGTAAGAAAACAGTCGCACACAGGATAAGCAACTTTCCCTAAGTTGACTGGCACTTTCTTAAAAAGCCTCAAAATTGTTCACTTAATTATTAGCACCAATAAGATGGGCAGAAGGGGGACAAGGTTCTTAACATCATCAAAAGAAGAAACATGAGGGGCACCTGGGTGGCTCAGTCCGACTTCAGCTCGGGTCATGATCCCACGTTTCAAGAGTTCGAGCCCTGCATCCTGCACAAGGCTTGCTGCTGTCAGCACAGAGCCCATAGCCCACTTCAGATCCTCTGCCGGCCTCCCTCTATGCCCCTCCCCTGCTTGCGCTCTCTCTCAAAAATAAAAATAAAACATTAAAAAAAAAAGGAAGAAACTTGAGAGAACTGTGGTATAATTCTTGTGCAAAGAGAAACCAAGGCAGGTATCTACAGGGTAGAGCAGTATCGTTTGCTGCGTCTCATGTCTGGGGGAAATATGTCAGCGTGTGCCAGAGTCCCATGTGAGGACCGAAGATGTGAGTAAGTACTGTTTCTAATAACAACGCAGCAGGAGTTAATTTGTTTAAGCTACAGCATATGAGATCTAATGGGGAGTTTTGAAAGAACTTCCTGCAGAAAAAAGTTGAGGCTATCCTAAGGGAAACTGGGAAGTGTTTATTTCAAGTACAACTGAGTTTTCATTAAGATACTATTACTCTGAAGTTTTGCTATCCATCTAACCCATACACAATTTAAGACTTTTTTTTTTAGAGAGAGAGAGACAGAGAGCACAAGTGGGGAAAAGGGGCAGAGGGAGGAAGAGAGAGAGAATCTTAAGCAGGCTCCATGCTAAGTGCAGAGCCCAACGCAGGGTTCAAACCCACAACCCTGGGATCATGACCTGAGCCCAAATCAAGAGTCAGACGCTCAACCGACTGAGCCATCAAGGTGCCCTTCAATTTGACACTTTTAAATGATTCGTTACAGTCATGAGTTTCCTAATTCCACATCCTCACCCCAACATGTGCTGCGTGGCACTAACACTCTCTTCCTAAGGCTTATTTGTCCAGTTTGTCCAGCACTGTAGACGGCAGCCACAGACCTTCTTGCTCGGCATTTGCTTCAGTTTAGAGAAATTTTGTTTCCCTCAACCTTCACTCAGAAATCAGTCCCTCTAGTCATCTAATCACCTGCTTATTACTTCCCAATTCCACCCTAGCTCCTCTCTGTCTCTGCAGTAATGAGGGATGCAAAACGGAATGGAACGCACCGAGCGTCACAAGAATGGAGCGCCTCCCGATTCCACGAGGCAAGCCCTGTGAGAACATGTCTCCAGAGCACACAGATCAGAATGAAGTGTGAAGTGCAAAAGAATATATCAAATGACAGGAGCATATGTTGCATATTTTGGTGAAGAACTTGAAGGAAGATAACGATGGGAGACGAAAGCACAAAAGAAACAAGGGATGAGGGGCTCTCAGATACAGTTGTCTGCACCCTTTTTAACCTGCGTTGTGCTGGGAACAAGTTTCTGCATTGCAACGCTGTGCTTACTTGTTTTTTTTAAATTCTTTTTAATGTTTTTATTTATCTTTGAGACAGAGAGAGACAGAGCATGAGCAGGGGAGGGGCAGAGGGAGAGGGAGACACGGAATCCGAAGCAGGCTCCAGGCTCTGAGCTGGCAGCACAGAGCCCGACGCAGGCCTCGAACTCACGGACCGTGAGATCATGACCTGAGCTGAAGTCAGACGATTAACCGACTGAGCCACCCAGGCGCCCCTGTGCTTACTTGTGTTCTCTGCAGAGAAATACTTATGTTAAAGAGAGGGCATCCCAAACTTTGGCCTGCCTTTCTGAAAATGCAGAACCTTACTCACGTGCATGTGCATGTGTGTGTATGTGTGTGTAACAGCATACATGATTCCACATAAATCTATACCCATAGGAAAAAAAACCCACTGAATTGGTTGTTCTAGGTGTGATAAAACTATTTAAAACTTACCTTTTTAAATGTTTATTTATTTTTGTGAGAGAGAGAGACAGAGTGCAAGCTGGGGAGGGGCAGAGAGAGAGGGGGACACAGAATCTGAAGCAGGCTCCAGGCTCTGAGCTGTCAGCACAGAGCCCGATGCGGGGCTCGAACTCATGAGCTGTGAGATCGTGACCTGAGCCAAAGTCGGGCGCTTAACCAACTAAGCCACCAGGTGCCCCTAAAACTTACTTATGAGCTAGGTAAATATTGGGGAAAGGAGGTTCTGAGGACACAGTCTCTTTAGAAAATTGTTGACCTAAGCTGAAATTCTTATGGCTTAAAGCTCTGTTGGTCCAGGTAAGATGTCAGCTTCTGACTGACAGGAAAGCAGTGCATTCAAATTTCAGCTCATTCTGGCCAAGATAGGAAGTGTAAAAACTGCAGGCTGAGGGGAAGCACTGAGCAGCAGCATTGTGTGGAAGACGCGGTTCCTCTGACTGAGCAGCCTGGTTCTGGGTCCCTCCTTAATTAAGGGCATGTTTGCTGTTTGCAGGAAAAGAAGCAAGAGACAGCAGGTACTACCAGGTTAGCCCATAGGAAAGTGCAGTTTCTAAAACACAAAGACAGTCAAATATCCAAATTTCATATGGTTCGACCGCATAATTGATTAAAAAACATGTCAGTCCCAAGCTCACCGACAGCAAGGCATATAAACGGAGGGTAAACACTAAATAAGGAGAAAGGTGCCAGCCAGCTGCAGACAAGTTTTAAAAGAGATTTTCTAACAGATCAAAAATGGAGATCCTAGTAGTCCTCTTCATAAACATCAAGAAACATAAAAACGATGGCAATTAGAAATATTACTTTTGCTTTTCCGAATCTTTTAGTATAACGTTAACATCGGAGGATGAACGGGAAAATAAAAGTAAATTTTACTGGTATACATGTTTTTTTTCTTTAGAAAACTGGCCTGTACTCCTTTGAGGAGCACTCCTGACTGTTGCTCTGTCTTCGAGTCACAACGGGGCAAGGCCGGAGGCAGCAGCGCCTGGCAGCTGAGGCTGAATCGCTGCGTTTTGTGTCGGGCCCAGGAGGACCCTCAGCCTTTGGATTGTCCTCCTTTTTGCTCACAGGTCGGTGCAGTTTCCCCATATTCCCAGGACCAATCCTGATCCGGGGCCGAAGGTAATTTGCGAAACGCAGTCGTCCATTCTAGGATTCAAAGGTCCAAACCTGACGGTGCCCACGGCTGATACCAGCGCTCATGCCGTTGTTCAGGACTCTGGGCAGCCTCGTGGGCCCCGAGTCTACCAATGAGGCATATGCCTTGGTCCTTGTTCCTAAATGCCTGGTCTGCTGCTACAGCTAGAATTCGGGGGCCCTACTGGGACAGAAGCTCTATGTTCCTACTTTCTTCTTGGCCCCTTCGCAGGATAGGATTTCTGCCTCCCAGTCCCAACCCCAGAGC